GCGTGGTAGCGCGTGCCTGTAATTCCGGCTACTTGGAAGGCTGAGGCGGAAGGATCGCCGGAGCCCAGCAGGCCGAGGTTGCAGTGGCCAGGAGCGGCCATTGCACTCCAGTCTGGGCTACAGAGTGAGACTCCATCTCAAAAAAAAAAGAAAGTCACCCTCATTAATATGGAAGGGAGAAAATATATTTAATGAACTGGATGATCTAACTAAGGAGATTTCAATGCAGATTTTTTTTCTTTTTTTAGTTGGAGTCTTACTCTGTCGCCCAGACTGAAGTGCAGTGGCCGCTCCCGGCCACCACAGCCTCGCCTGCTGGGCTCCAGCGATCCTTCCGCCTCAGCCTTCCGAATAGCTGGAAGGCGCACTACCACGCCCATCTAATTTTTTTATTGATTGTAGAGATGAGGTCTTGCCAAGTTGCCCAGGCGGGTCTTGAACCCGCGGGCTCAGGCAGTCCACTCACCTCAGCCTCCCAAAGGCACGGGATTACAGGCTGAGCCACCGATCCCGACTCCTTTTCCCCATCTTAAACCTATGAACTGTTTTTCATTTCTATCCCTGGTGCATTAGCACCTGGCACCTTGCAGTCATTCCCTAAGTGCTATCAGTGCCTCTCTTAGAATATTCTTTTCTGATCTATTTTTTTCTTCACAGCCTGTTGAGGTATAACTGATGAACAGTCTGAAATAATTTGTGTCTCAAACAGCTTCCATGTATATAAATATGCATTCTGTATCTAAGTTTAAACTCCCTAACATTAAGAATCATGCATTACAAATGTTTGTCTCTGTAATGATTTCTGACACCATCACTTCCCACAGTTGATAATCTAGGAAATAGGGAGCAGTGGATTGATTTTGAACAAGTTTGAAGTTATTTTCCCTTCAAAGATGATGGTACACTTAGGTGTCTGTGTCCTGCTGTGCGTGCATCAACTTAAGCCTAAACAAAAGTGTAGTATATAGGGCTGTGTTGGACAGATACCACAGGTACACAGCTAGGTCCAGAGAGCCACAGAAGAAAATACGAGAGGGTGATCACAGGATGGTGATTGGAATGCTTGCCATGGCTGTACCAGGCACTCAGTAAACCTGGTTTTGTTAAACAGCAATGGTCAGCAGTGACAGCTTCTACCAGTGCTTGGAACATTTAATATTTAAATGTGCATATAGAAAAGAAAAAATGGATTTGATCAGTTATGTTTTTGTCATTTATTCGTCTTTTCAAGCAGAGTCTTTGTGAAAGTGGTGAAAAGTACATCCCACCTCATGTGAGGCGAGCTGAGGAGACAGTGGACTTCCGGAAGAAAGAAGAACTAGAAAGGCTAAAGAAGCACGTGAAAGGTCTAATTAACAGGTGACCTTGCAGTATTGTTACATTGTGTCACTTAAGTTGTTTTCTAAAAATACAGCAACCATGTCAGGAATTAAAATAGAAGTGCCCTGGGCAATATAGGTCTTACTATATTGCTCAGGCTGGCCTCAAATCCCTGGGCTCAGGTAATCCTCTCGTCTCCACCTCCCAAAGTGCTGGGATTACAGGTGTGGGCTGTTGCACCTGGTTTATATTTCTTTTTATGTATTTATTTATTTATTTTGAGTTGGAGTCTCACCCTGTTGCCCAGGCTGGAGAGCAGTGGTACACTCACAGCCTCTGCAACCTCGACCTGCGGGGCTAAGATGATCCTTCTGCCTCAGCCTTCCAGGTAGCAGGACTACAGGCACGCACCACCATGCCCAACTAATTTTTTTTTATTGTAGAGATGAGGTCTCGCCAAGTTGCCCAGGCTGGTCTTGAACCCATGGGCTCAGGCAATCCTCTCATCTCTGCCTCCCAAAGTGCTGGGATTATAGGAGTGAGCCACTGCGCCTGGCCTATGTTTCTTTTTAGTTAAAAACTAAACACCATTTCCAGGGAGTGTCCTGGAATTTTACTATAACCCAATGTTTTAATGTTGAGTTGAGGATTAGCACAGGTACACAGTGAATAATCTTCTGTGTACATATGTAGTCTTCCTTTCTCCACTCATTCAAGTGGAGCAACATTTTTTCAGTGATAGGAACTAAAGAGTTTTGTGCCACCTGAGAGATGGAAAAATCAGTGTTTTTCCTCATAACATACACTCTTTTGAGGAAGGGTGGTCCCTGCCTCTGGGGATAATCAGATCAGGAGACACAAGGAGGATCCTCATGTAAATTTCTATAGTCTTAAAGAGAACCCATGATGCATTTTACTGTGGTGGCTATATCTCATCTATAATGACAGCAGTTACATTAATTTGGGATTGCAGTATTTGTGGTTGTGAGTGGTATATGCTGCGTTATTGGGACAAGCTATGAATTGTTAATGGGTCAGAAATGTATATAAGATAGGATATATCGGTAGTATTGGCAATTTTTAAATTTTTTAAATTGAACTAAAAAATAATTCCTAATTTATTGTTGCTCTCTGTCTTTATAATTCTTTGCAGATTGAGTGAGCCCAACCTGCCATCCATCAGTGGACAACTGGAGGAGCTGTACATGGCCCACAGCAGGAAGGACATGAATGACACCCTGACTGCCACCCTCATGGATGCCTGTGTCACCACCTCGGCCATGCCCAGCAGGCTGATGATGGAGCATGTTCTGCTAGTCAGTGTCCTTCACCACACAGTGGGAATTGAGGTATGGTTGTCCCTTTTCTCCAGACTGCTAATAGTGTCTCAGTGATTATTTCAATGATAGGCTTGATATATACTTAATTGTGTGGTGTAGGTTGCTTTCTTGTGTTATAATTTCTTTTATTTACTTATTTATTTTTATTTTAAAGATGGGTACAATTCAGAATGAGGTATGCAAGTGGTCATCATACAGGTAAAGTCTGGGCCTCCCTTTGATCCCCTTTTTGCCTATTTTGAGACATCAGGTACCCTTACTGATGTTGTGTACCCCCACCCACCCACCCTGCAATGCCAATCCCTTTCTTATAGTATTATGGCATCAGGGTACGCTTATATGTGAGAACGTGTGTTACTCAGTTTTTTTTTTCTATGATAGATCACTGAGTATGACAGACTCTAAATCTATCCAATTGCTGCAAAGCCCATGTATTTGTCCTTCTTTATGACTGCGTAACATTCCATATACCTCATTTTTTTAATCCAGTCAAGTTTCAATGGGCAATATGATTGGTTCCATTTTTTGCTATTGTGAATACTGTGAATAATGCTGCAATAAACATGTGTGTGCAAGTATCTTTTTTGTAGAATGATTTCAGTTCCTCTGGATATATTCTCAGTAGGGGGATTGCTGGGTCACATGGAAGGTCAATGTCTAGTTCTTTTAGAAATCGCCACACTGTTTTCCAGAGAGGTTACACTAGTTTGTCTTCTTGCCAGCTGTGTAGAAGTGTTCCTTTTTCTTCACCTCCTTGCCAGCATCTGCTGTTGTTTGTTTTATTAATGATGACCATTCTTACTGGGGTTAGGTAGTATCTCAGTGTGGCTTTGATTTGCATTTCTCTGATGATTAGTGAAAACCATGCTGCTGAGCACTTTTTCATGTGTCTGTTGGCTGCCCATATATCTTCTTTTGAGAAGTGTCTATTCATGTCTTCTGCCCACTTTTTAGTGGGGCTGTTTGTTTTTTCCTTTCGGCCTGTTTGAGTTCCTTATAAATCCTGGATGTTAGATCTTTGTCAGATAAATAGTTGGCAAACATTTTTTCCCGTTCTGTGGGCTATCTCCTTGCTCTCTTCATGGTTTCTTTTGCTTTGCAGAAGCTTTTCAGTATGATGAGGTCTCACAATTTCTTTTTGTTCCTAATAAATACTTTATTGTCTGTGTTATGTAGTTCTAACCAGCATTCAGTAAATGCTTGATTTAGTTCAACTTTGCTTTCTTGTTCCGTCCATTCTAACATGTCTTTATATGTTCGTTAACTTCCCTGTGACGTCTCAGATTACCTTCGTTTTCTTTTCATTCCCCTCTCTGACACTGATTTGCTTCAGATGTTCAGAAGATGATGTTGGTGTAGTCATACAACTGAGACATTTGTGTTGGTGGAAGCTGTGTGGCATGGGACCGACCGGGTCATGTCCATTGAGGCCTTGTGCCCTCTCTGTGCCTCTTTCCTCAAGAATGAGGCGGGGCTTCAGCAGCCTCCTTCTGGGACTTTCTGTCAGGATTGAATTGGACAATGTATTAAAGCATCCAGCACGCTGCTGGTACCTCTGAGCTGCTGAGTAAATACCCCCCGGTCCCATCCCCCTTTTGTGTTCTTCTTCCTTGATCAGTGACCTTTGTGGTTAAAGTCAGGGTGGTTTCGTGATGATAACCCAGGTTCCACAGTCACTCCTAATTCAGTACAGGAAAGTCATAACCTTTCCAGGCAGTATTCCAGTTCCCTCAACATAGCTGATTGAAGGTATATTGAAGGAAGTCGTCTGATTAAAGGAGTTTGTGCTGAGGTAGGTGAACGAGTTGATGATGAGGTGAATGAAGCTTAATTTTCCTAGGTAATACTGTACTTCTAGTCAGAAGAATTTGTTAACCCATTTAGATCCTTAAATGGTACACTGTCTTTTGACGATGGTGGTTTTCTTAGGGGTTTTTTTGCCTTCTGATAGCTCTACTTCCAAAAATAGACCATGGCAGCAAAGCATTCCTAAAAGTTTGATTCCCTGATGTATATTTATGAGCTTTTCTTTTTACCTAATAAAGTTTTATTTTTCCAAATGTACAGCTGGTCGGACCTGTTCATGCATCTTCACCAGCAGCTGGGTCATCTCCACCATGGGTATTTCTAGTGTAAATTACTTGAGCTAGCTCTGTGCTTTGAAACCAGTTTGATAAAGCCTTTACTAAGGAACTCCTGAAAGGCTGCCCTGGCCAGAGAACCACGAATCTTCCATCTCTCAGAGACCACAACTGGAGTTAATAGCTTGTAACCGGGAACTTCCTTACAGAGTTTGTCATATGTGACTTTGTCAAACAAGACTAGGTTATTAAACTTGTCCCAAACTTTGTCTTTGGATCATTTCTTCTTTTTAGCCTTGGCCCCAGATTTCTTCACTGGGTCTTTGTCTTTCTTGGCTGACTTTCCAGCATCTTTCTTCTTCTTGTCATCCTTGGGCGGCATTGTGAAGCTCAGAGAGCAGCAAACACCACCGCAGCCTCACTAAGATGTCAGACAAAAAGGAAGTTTGTTTATGTACTTTTTTTTTTTTTTTGAGTTGGAGTCTCACTCTGTCACCCAGACTGGAGTGCAGGGCTGCTCCCGGCCACCGCAGCCTCGACCTGCTGGGCTCTAGCGATCCTTCCGCCTCAGCCTTCCAAGTGGCTGGAACTACAGGCACGCGCTCCCATGCCCGGCTAATTTTTGATTTATTGTAGAGATGAGGTCTCGCCAAGTTGCCCAGGCGGTCTCGAACCCCCGGGCTCAGGCAATCCACTCACCTCAGCCTCCCAAAGGCGCGGGATTACAGGCTGAGCCACCGAGCCCGGCTTGTTTATGTACTTTTATGTCTTCACTACATTTGATCCTCACAGTATCCCAATGAGATAAGTAGGACAGATGTCTGCTGAAGCCCGCTTTGCAAATGCAGCAAAGTCACTGAAGAGTTATGTGATATTCCCAAGATCACAAGGCTTTTTAAAAGTACACAGAACTTGTTTTCTGAGCTCCTAAACCAGCACACTTTATACTATAGTGCTAGTCACATTTTGTTTTTACATTTTCTCTCAATTAGTCTTTACAATTCTTTGGAGTCTTACAAGTGTGACTATCCAGGGCTTCCTTTAAAATACACAGATTTGCCAAAACAAATTAGCCTTCTTGTTTGGGGATTCTGTGCTTAAGGCAGTATGGTGTGGTGGTGGAGACACTGCCCAAGTTAGGAACATACTCTGCCACACACTGGCTCTGTCACTTGGATGGCCCTGTGCCTCTGTGTCTTCCTTTGTAGAGTTGTTAAGGTTAATGGGTTAGTACATGTAATAGACATAGAAAAGAGGCTAACTCATAGTAAGTACTCATTGAAGGTTAGTTATTATAGTAATACTAAGGTGGATTTCCATATTGAAATTCTGTTCTTCCTCCCACTTTTTCCTAGCTGGCTTTTTCTACCACTGCACATTTCCTTGTTATTCCTGGATAATCTTCTGATCCACATTTTTCCTTATCTAGCAGGAGTCACATTAAGGTAGTTTTTTAAAAAATAATGGTGACTTTAAGGCCTGCAGGGCATTGAGAAGCAGAGAGTAAGAGAGAGGGGGACACAGGCCTGAGTGTCTGGGTGCACATCTCATTTGTGAAAATGTCCACAAACTGCTTAGGGAATCATTCTTTTTTTTTTTTTAATTTCTAAGAACTATTCCCATTTTCATATGCAAATGTGTGAGTCCATTTTCTTATCATTGTGAAGTGTGGTGGAATCATTGGGTGCCATTCCCGGACCCTGTGAGGACCTTGATTTAGTGCTGCTCTGCAGCTTTCTTCGTGCCTCCCCTATCCTCCTAGATTACACTGGTGTGCTTCAACCGACTTGATCATTAGAGTGATCTTAGTACGGACAGTATTTCAGTGACTTATAGTAAGAGCCATAGACCCTGACCACCTGCAGCACATCAGGAATTTACTTGATTTGAAAACATGAGATTATTGGCCCTACTTCTCATTTAAACCTTCACTAATAGCATGAAGGACAATGAAATGACTTGTTCCAAGGGGAAGTCATTATAGTACTTTAGCTAATGACATCCACTGAAACCTCTGCCAGAATGTGATGGGCTCTCAAGATGCTGGCTCCATTAAATACTTCTTTAGTGCTGTACTGAGAAAAACATCCTCACAGGAATTCATGGAAGGAAAAAAAATGTGTTAAAGACCATGGTGTCAGCTGTTGAATCATTTCTTTAAGTCATTTAAGAATAGAAAATCAGATCTATGCATATTTGTGTTAAAATGTTCACATTAGATTCAATGTACAGCATATGCTTGAATAACTTTACTAATGTAAATTTTGTTCATGTTCTTAGATGTTGTACTATTGTATTTTATTAAGACATCAAATGCAATTCCAATTTACAATTTTGATATAATTAACCCTTTGCACTTGGCTCACAGATCACTTACCAGCAATTCAACCACATTTTTTGTGAAATAGTGAAAAATGAATCACTTCATATTAAGTAGCATAACTTTGGAACCAATTATTTTATTGTAATGACATTTGGCTTATAATGAAACTGGACACCAAGGAACTTATTTATCACCAAAAAAATCAAAATTTTTTTATCTTATATTTTACTAACGTGTAAAGCACTCACTGACATGCATTGCAGGTTTGTTGATACATGTTATGCAATACTAATTTGTTTGGCATCTTCCACCTGGTATTTTTCTATTTGAGCAGACAATACAGTCTTGTTTTCTTCCTTCCACATTAATAATATGTAATTTATTGTTCAGTCTGTTGTTTGAAGACTATGTGGAAGGACACACTCGTGATTCCTGACAGCTGATTGATCAGCAGTTTGACAAATTTCAAATGGAACATAGGTTTTTTTTTTTTCTATTGCTTGGTACAGTATACAGGAGTTAATAATGCGTATTTCTAGTCCCCAGAAGAATAATTTCCTCCACTACTTTAAACCTTTTTGCCAAAAGCAATTTTACTTCTCCAGCTTAGTGCAGATAGATATATTTGATCTGTGCCGCTTGATACTTCAGTATGCTCTGCCTTCAATTTTGAGTCTCTTTTAAGGCCACAGTAATTTATTTATATATCTATTCAAGTTATGCCATGTAATACAAAGAGTATACATACCCACAGCTGCCTTTCTTATATAAATGCTCTTTATCACTAACTTCTGTTACAAAGTGTCGGCACCACTGTGAAAGTACTTCACCATTCTCTTTCTACATAACTGCCAGATGGTATTTTTTTCATGAATATCTCAGTATATATTCCATCTCTTTATTTTCTTTTTCATGCAGTTTGAGTGGAAAACTTCATGGAAACATACATTTTTTAAAAAATTTGCTCTTGCATAGGTTTGTTCTGTATAATCACTAGCAATGTCTTTATGTCTCCTAAGAGGGGATATCCGAGGAGTTTGCTAGATTTGTGATGTCTCCTGAGTGCAGAGGACTAAATAGTGATGTTTGTGTGATTGAAAACATACCTGAATATGTTTTGTGCCTGCATTTTTCTTGGTCTGCAGAATTCTAATTTCCTTTTTAAAATTATATTTGAATGTAAAATGGCGGTCATGATGGGAGAGTATATTCTTCAGGTCTGTCTTCAGTGAAGGACAGGCTGAATTGAAGAAGTCTCAAGACTTTAAAAACATAGAAAGGTAAATGCAGTCCATTAGAATTGGCCTCCATTAAGTTACTCCATGTCACCACTGTGTCCTGCTCCCATCTTCTTCCTCTGGTCTCAGCTTGGGCTGAGATTTGAGAGAAAATGATGATATAGTACTGATACCAGCAAGATTGAAAGCTACCATTTCTGCCTTAAAGTGTCAGCATCTCCATGTTACAGAGTGAAAAAAACAGAGGTTCAGAAACTTGCTCTCAAGACCACACAGTCCAAATTGTCTTCCCATTCCATAGAACACACATTTGGAATCTGGAATAGAATGTACCAGAACAGTGAAAGAAAACGCCATTAGTGATCTTGTTTGACTTCTCCAGGACTCTAGTGGGTCCTGGCCCCAGTGCTGTCACCTGAAATGTGATGATTGGTTCTCCTGCTGATCCCCATCAAAGCCCAGTGGCCCCTGAACCAATGGCTATGCTGAAGGGGTACATTCACACACTGCCTTTATAACCACGTTTGTAGTGGGAATTCAAATTTCAAAGATATTTTGATTACTTTAGGTTTTAAGGTAATCAAGTTTAGAAACTTCAGTAGAGTTAGGCTAAATGCAGAAACTGCTTGAAGGCCCTTTTTTGCTTCTTGCACCCTTCACTGCCCTTTGATCTAGTAACTGTTGCTGGTACCAAAGGAAACACAAACATTTGCATTGACTCCCACCCCCCATAAGCAAGAAATTTGAAAAAAAATTGCACATCCCTGGAAAAGCATCCACTGGACCTAGATAAGAAATGGGCTCTGCTGAAATTCCTTAAAACCCAGAAATATATCTCTTCCCTTAGTCTTTAGATGGCAACTGCTTTCTTTTATGCTTTTGAATCACATTTATGTGTAATGTTAATTATTAGCTAAGTCTTGTGACAGAACTCTCGTGTAAGTGAAGAACTGTAACCAACTGAAAGTACACAACCCCAAATTGTTCAAAGCCTTTGTAACTTGAAGGAATGGCAGGAGTGATGCAATCTGAACACTGGCTTATGTCAACAACTGCTTGGGGCCTAAGCTCTGATTAGAAAAGATGCTAATAAGCCAGTCTTGGTGGCTTGTGCCTGTAATCCCTGCACTTTAGGAGGTAGATGCGAGAGGATTACCTGAGTTTGTGGGTTCGAGAACAGCCTGGGCAACATGACAATAAATCAAAAAATTAGCAGGTATGGTGGTGCATGCCTATAGTTCCAGCTACTTGGAAGACTGAGACAAAAGGATTGTCTGAGCCCATCAGGTCGAGGCTGCAGTGGCCATGAATGTGCCACTGCACTCCAACCTGGGTGACAGAGTGAAACTCTGACTCAAAAAGAAAAGAAAAGATGCTAATAATGATCCTAGGACAATTTAATTGCTGTTAATCAATAGTTAAGCTAGATAAGACAGTGCCTGTTTTACAGTAAACACTGGAATGAATTTGTGTTGCTTTGAACAGACTTCAGTGGCTATACTGAACTCTGACTCCCTGAATGCTAAATTTAGTTCAAACTTCTTCCCAGTTTCCTGCCTCACATATTTCATTGGCAAACAAGAGAAAGAAGCCGAGTGTTGATTGGGCCATTTCATGTTGAACCCTGGGGAAGCAGAGACCTCTCATTCATTGCTCCCATGTCCTTTCCAAGGATTGTGAAGTGTCTGTCCACTGAGCATCCTCTCATGCTACTTCGGGATATGTTGTTTTTATTTTTCTACTTTAGACACTTATGTTGCTTTCTTGTAAGATATTAATTTGGAGTTTAAAAATCTGGGAAAAGGGCTTTTAAGAAATGAGTATTGTTAGGTAATAGAACATTTCTAGAGATATAGATGTGGTTTTAACAACATTTTTAAGAATTTTATTTTCCCAAGGAGTCAGAATGACTGCTGGCTAAAAAATACCACTTTGCTGTTGACTTTAAAGGGAAGAAGATGATATCCTTGCAATAAAGATTGGAGGACTGTGGAAAGTTGCCTTGTGTCATGAAGTTTATCCCCTGCTGGAATGCCCTACTTTGTGTGTTAACTTAAGAAGTACTAATGCAGTGTGTTGAAGGGGAAAAAAGATTCCTAAAAATAACGTAATAAGACTTTCTGTTTCCTTCTTTCAGGTTGGTGCTCACTTTCTGGAGGCTGTGGTGAGGAAGTTTGATGATGTCTATAAAAATGGAGGTGAAGGGAAAGAATCTGATAACTTGTTTGCCATCATTGCCCATTTATACAACTTCCATGTGGTGCAGTCTCTCCTCATCTTTGATATTTTGAAAAAACTGATTGGAACGTTCACAGAAAAAGATATTGAACTGATCTTGCTAATGCTGAAAACTGTGGGCTTTTCATTGAGGAAAGATGATGCTTTGTCACTTAAGGAATTGATCACTGAAACCCAGAGCAAGGCCAGTGGAGCAGGCGGCAAGTTTCAGGACCAGACCAGGGTATGACTGCATCACTTGACCTGCTTGCTAAGTGCCTTAATGCTCAAAAACTGACCAGAACTTAAAAATAAGTTTTGGGGGTAAATATTATGCTTCATTTCCTAATGATTACTGTTGTCTTCTTCCTTAGTTTTCTGACTTTATCCTTAATATATGAACCAACCTTATTTGCTTACTGAGAACTCAGAAAAAAATATTTTGTGAAGTTAAGTTGATTTATTTAACATTCATCCATTCAAAAGATGCTTAATGAGAAGGCCGTAGGGCATAGGACTCCAGGGTCACCCTGGCTTGAGCTTCTGGCACTGCTGCTTGACAGCAGTATCATCTGAGACTTCAAGACCTTGGTTTGCCCATCTGTAAAACGGACCGATCACAGCTCCAACTCCTTTGCTGTTTTGATGATGAGTAATGTGAAATGACTAATGTTTCTGAGAAGTCCTTGAGGAAGAACAAGAAAAGAGTTAGTGTGGGAACCTGGAGGAGGCGTCATAGGAGAAGTCGTCAGAGTGTTGTCTCAAGGGCCTTGTAAACCATCACAGGGAATTGGGAGTTTCATCCTAGGGTTAGGTCAGCGTCTGAAGGGTTCTAAGCAGGTAAATGACATGTTCAAGTTTTCATTCAAAACAGGTACATAAGCTCAAACATAGAGGCAAAGTGGTCAAAGTAGGAGGAGCTGTTGCAGGAGCTGGAAGTCAGTGGTGGCAAACATCGCCGTAGTGGCAGTGGGTGTGGACAAGAGGGTCAGAAGTGACCGGACCTTGTGTGGATTGGGGTGAAGGAAAGGAGGAAAGGCTCTCACCCTTCAGGTGAACAGTGGACCCATGCAATAGGAAGTGTAGACTTGGAAGCGAAGACTCCATTTTTGAAATCCTGAAATTAAAGCACCTGGGTTAGCTGTGAAAGATGTGGGCTCAGAAGAGTTTGCCCATCCTTCTCCATGCAGTCCTGGAAGCCATGGAAAGCGGCAGAATTGCCTGGTGTGGGGCGGGGCATTAAGAAGAACTCAAGATTAAGGAACACCTCTGTTTAGCTACAGGAGGAGGGAGTGCCAGTAGTGAGAATGAGAGGATGTCAGGAGGAGGAGGAAAGAGGAAATGAAGAAGGTCACAGGAACCAGGGGCTCGGTGTGTCCCAAGAAAGAAGTCACCCCCTGTGGAATGCTGAGGGCAAGAAGAATGAGGACTGAACTTTCATTTTGAATTGAATTCTGTGAGCAGTCCCTATTGACTGTTACGCTTGAATACTACCAGAGAAGTATGTCTGCGACGAGGGGAGTATGGAAAACAGGATGGGGGCAGCAAGTTAAATGATGGTTTAAAACATAAAAGAGACAAAAAGTAGATTAGGGGCTGCTTGTGGCTGGGGGAGTTGGGGAAATGGGAAGTGGATATAACCACATCGTTATATACTTTAAGTGAGTGGATTGTATGGTATGTGAATTATACACCAATAATAAGTCAACATTTGGGGAAGTTTCAGAAGGGTGTGTGGGAATTCCTTGTACTGTTCTTGCAACTTTTCTGTATGACTTTGTTTCCAATTTTAAAGTTAAAAAAATTCAAAGCTGGGCTCGGTGGCTCAGCCTGTAATCCCGCACCTTTGGGAGGCTGAGGTGAG